AAAACCTCATTACGTAAAGCTTGTATGTCCTGTAAGCAGGTGGTGAAATTAACTTCATCCCTCTTCCTGAAGCCTCTGGCTAGCATTAGCACGCTAACAGCTAGTAAGGCATACAGGCCAATTACTGGCAGATCAGCACCTTCCTCGAACATTGAATTTACATAAGAAGCGAAAATGCTACTAATTGAGGCAAATGATAAATATTCGACCATATTTACCAGTCAGCTTCTACTCCAGATCCGGTAAGATTTTTTCAGCTAGATGAATCAGGCTGCTTCTAATAAAGATGCAGTAACCACTTTTGACCAGCAGGTGGCGCAGGTGTTCAGTTGCGGTTTCTTGAGTTGGACCTGAAATTTCCTGAAAAACCCTTACCAAGCGTGTTAAGAACGCATTGGGGGGCCGAGCGTTGGTGGCGCGCGCCTTTAATCCCAACACTAGGGAGGCAGAGGCAGGTGGATCTCCGTGAGTTCGAGGCCAGCCTGGTCTCCAGAGCGAGTTCCAGGACAGGATAGGCTCCAAATCTACAGAGAAACCCTGTCTCGAAAAACCAAACAAACAAACAAAAAAAAACAAAACAAAAAAAACAAAACAAAAAAAACAAAACAAAAAAAAAAAAACAAATTGGGGGTGTGTTTACTAGGTATGGGAAAAACCTTTGAACAGCACCTGGTGGAGACCAAGCACAGCAGTGAGCGGGCGCCGCTGGCAGCGCAGCTATATATAGCGCAGCTTTGGGACCTGGAGCTGGGAATGTTAGCGCGGGAGGGGGACGGAGGGGGACACAGCGGTGTTCAGGTCTTGCTGCCAGTGGCTGCAGGCCACAGAAACTGCAGCGGCCCGCACAGAAAGGAAAACTTTCTAGGTTTGGTTATGCAGGACAAAATTGCTTGCAGCTCAGGGCCGCGGGCGCGCACTCGTGGCTAGCATTAAATGAGAGCGGCGGCTGGAAGCGGCGGTGGTATTCCTTGCTGTTTGCTGTACCCCCGGTGTGTGCGCGGACTGCAGCCTTAGCATGCACGGAGAATAGCTCCAGGCACAGTGCTGCCACGGCCAGACTCTGTGCTCGGAGGGCCTCGGTAGGCTACCGGCTGCGTTTCCCCCCCCCCCCTCTGGCGCGCACTTCTCAGCTTAAACCCAGTTTACTTACTTTACTCTGGGTTAATGCGCATGCGCGGATGGCGATACCGAGGTCTATAGCACCCCCTGCTGTTCAAATGTGCAACTACAAAGCAGTGGCCCTAATGCTCCTAATTTAGCCCATTATTTGGAAGAAACACCACTCAGCCACACAGCTACCAAAAGGGGGAAGATATTTTTCTTTAACCAAAGATGCCGTCAGTTCCATGAGCTATCAGACCTATATCTTCCCAGAGAGCCCACTTTATTTCCTTATTCCCACAAAGATGGCATGGGGTAAAGAACAGCCCTGGGTTTGTAGGTAACACAAAGCCCCAGCAAGGTGCATGGGAACAGAATTGCCAGAGGGGAGAGAAACACCAGGATTCCCTGCATCGGGGTCCCTGGAGATTCTTGGTGTGAATACGCAAAGTATGGTCACATCAATAGCACCTCCAGCTCCACAAATACTGAGAGCTTCTGTTTGTTACAGGACTGAGGTGGTAGGGGAGCAGGGATGGCTGGACCATCAGGAGATATAGGCTCATATGGGAGACGATCTGCAGCTTCTATACCCAATCAGGTGGCAACCTCAGGCACAAGAGCCAATGGTGGGGCAGGGCGGGGGAGGAGGGGAGTGATACGGTCAAAATATATTGCATATATATTGCAGTTTCATATATATGAACCCATCAAAGAATAAATTTTTAAAAATTAAGAACCAGAAGTATCAATGATAACTCAGCTGTACCAGGTGCAGGCCACCACACAAATAAAACAGGTTATTGTCTCATAAAAACCCCTTGGCCATTGGCATGGGAAGGCCATGCTGCCTGGCAGAAGGCTGTGCCAGTCCACAGAAGGAGGCCCTTCCAAATGCAAAAAGGCACTGTACTGCAGAGTAGCGAATCTCTAACCAGGCACACTGATACAGAAGAAATGCAGAGCAACTCACACTTTTCAAAACCATGGCTGGCTTCAATTCCTTGCTCCCCAAACCACTCCTGGTTGACATTTTTACAAACACTATGGTTGGTATTTTGAGTCTTTATGCCAGGTGGCTCAATGGTTCACTTAGCAACTCCAGGATTGGTCCTCTCTAGACGCCTAGCTGAGGATCTGTCCTGTGAGGCCTTGTCCCCCAAGAGCCTCCTGAACACGTGAAACGGATCTCCTCATCCACTGGGGCCTCTGCTAATACAGCCACACAACCTTGGCCCTCCAGGGATTAGAAAAGCATATCATGAGCCAGGCAGTGTTGGTTCACACCTTTAATTCCAGCACTCAGGAGGCAGAGGTTGGTGGATTCCTGTGAGTTCAAGGCCAGCCTGGTCTACAGAGTGGGTTCCAGGACAGCTAGGACTTTTTTCTTTTTTTAATGTGAGTTCCAGGGATTGAACTCTGGTCCTTGTGCTTAGAAGGCAATTACTGTACCTCCTGAGCCACAAAACCCCAGACGCTGGAGACCTAGTTACTAAAAAATTATTCTAGTGGCATCAACAAAAGAAGGAAGTATAAAATTTATGAGTAGAAGCACCATAAAAAAAAAAGTTACCCTAGGTGACCCCTGGCAGAGTGAGTAACGCAGAAGAAAATGCAGCTTGCCAGGCAGGACAGGCTAGTTGGAATCTGGTGACAGACCAGGGGGCTGTGGGTTTTTATGCTTTGTTACTACCGTAACCATCTCACCTGTGTGTCACTGCATCTCAATGTGAAATTCAGATGCTCCAAGAAAACTTCACCTGCAAGATTCTAGAGGTTTCTAGAATGCCAGAGGTGGTATACCACAGTGACTCACCCTAGAATCTGGAGTCAAATAGACAAGAATTTGGAGCCTGGCTCTACATCACCACACAGAACAACCAGAAAATCCCTTAATCTGTAGATTAGAGCGTCCATCTGTGAGAGGTAGATAATAAAGGAAGTACTGTCCAGTGGGCTGTGCAAATTTGAAAGGGAAAGTAATTCAGGGACAGGAACAAGATAAATAGAATGCTGGTTAGCTGGTGGGGGCTGGGAGCTCAGGAGCTTGAGAGGAGGGCTGCTGCGGGTCTGGACATTCTAAGATCCATGCTCATGGGGGGGTCCCCCTAGGGGGTGCTAATGGCCAAGGCCGGGTGTGTAGTAGGAACAGAGAAGGTCCTGGGAGTTAAAATAGACACTGGCGTGCTTCCCTTTCAAAGTGTGCCCAGACCCATCCTCATCCCCATCCACCCTCACCCTGGACTGCACCATCTCCGCTCCTCATTCGGGCCTTTTTACAGGGCCTGACCAAAATCTACAGGATGTCCCAAAGAGCTCAAAGGGTAAACACTGGGCCGGGAGTCTGATGATGAGCCTCACCTGGCTCACTTCCTAACCCCGAGATGGGCAAGGTATGTGGCCGCTCAGCTGTCTATGCCATTATCCCCTCTGCACAGCTACAAAAGGCTTTGAGGATATTGGTAGGAATAATCACACTCCTGTTAACCCACACACTCTAGGAAAAACTAAACTTGGAAAGTCATGGTTATGTTCTCCAAAAGGTAATTTACCAAACTTCTCTAGATCTCAGAATTTCTGATACAAGCCCTGAATTGTCCAAGTCACCTATTCAAACTTACCTCAAAATATGCAGAATTTGATCCCTACAACAGACCCCCACAATAGAGCCTGTGCTGTGGTTTGGATGTGGGTATCACTCAGAGGCCCATGTGTTGAAGGCTTGCTCCCTACCCTGTGGCACCAGTGGGTAGGAAACTGAGACTTTTAAGGGTAGGGCCTCCCTGGAGGAAGTAAGGTAACTGGAGGCGTGCTGTTGAAGAGGATGTTGGGACCCTTTCCCTGTGAGATGCTTCCTGGCCTCCATGAGGTAAAGGGACCTCCTCAGTCACTACTGAGTATTATGTTGTCACTAGTCCATAGCAAAAGGAGCAAGTAGCCAGGGATACAGGCCTCTGAATGAGAGCCAAAACCAACTTCTGCTTTTAAGTTATCCCAGGTATTCTGCCCCAGTGATAGAGTTAACACACCCTGATAGGACATTTCATAGACAAGAGGATGAGAGCTCAGAGTCCATATAATTTCCCCAAGAACTCATGTTAATAAGTGACAGTCTACCTTGAGACTGAGTTTTAAGCCAAAACTCGTACCTCCATGGCGCCCAGTGTACATTAGCAGCAAAGAGTGGGGCTTGTCACCATCTCTCAACATGTGCAGTCTCAGTCTTTTGTCACATTGTGCCAGCCAGTCATGACACCATGGATAGTTATGCCACCCTGTCTTAACATTTGGTCCTTTTTTTTAAAGATTTTATTTATTATGCATACAGTATTCTGCTTCCATGTATATCTGCACACCAGAAGAGTGCACCAGATCTCATAACAGATGGTTGTGAGCCACCATGTGGTTGCTGGGAATTGAACTCAGGACCTCTGGAAGAGCAGGCAGTGCTCTTAACCTCTGAGCCATCTCTCCAGCCCCCTATTTGGTCTTTTTAAGCACACACACACACACACACACACACACACACACACACACATTCTTGTGTTAAAGGCCAGAAGACAACACAGGCATAATCCTCAGGGTCATTGTCCACCTCACTTGAGACTAGCTGGCCAGTGAGCCCCAAGAAACCTCCTGCCTCCACCTCCCCAGCACTGGGATTCCAAGCCCAGCACTTTTGTTTTTTTGTTTGTTTGGTTGGTTGGTTTTGGTTTTTTGAGACAGGATTTTTCTGTGTAGTCCTGGATGTCCTGGAACTCACTCCATAAGACCAGGCTGGCGTCCCAAGTTCTGGGATTAAAGACAGGTGCTACCACCTACCAGCTAATCTTTTTTTTTTAATTGTATTTGTTATTTTTATTTATTATAGGTATGGGTGTTCTGCCTGCATGGATGTCTGTGTATCATATGCCCACAAAGGTCAGAAGCTGGACCTCCTAGAACTGGAGTCACAGGTGACTGTGAGCTGCCATGTTAGTGCTGGAGACTGTCTAGAAGAGCTGCCATTGGGCTCAACCTCTGAGCCATCTCTCCAGCCCCTAACTACAGATCTTAAACTGCCCCTCTTCTGATGCCCTTCTCCGCTCCCACAGTGACCAGCCACATCCAGATCACTCATCAGACTTCTCAGACTGCTGCACACAACCAGACTTGGGCCTCCTAGAACTGGATGACTGTGAGCTGCCATGTTAGTGCTGGAGATTGTCTAGAAGAGCTGCCATTGGGCTCAACCTCTTAGCCATATCTCCAGCCATTAACTACAGATCTTAAACTGCCCCTCTTCTGATGCCCTTCTCTGCTCCCACAGTGACCAGCACATCCAGATCACTCATCAGACTTCTCAGACTGCTGCACACAACCAGACACATACCTTAAGGGCCACAGCAGAGTGGCAGACAGTCAGCTCTACACTTTCCAGTTGAGTCATCTGACAATTACTCAATCTCACTGAACCTCCGGTTTCTCTATGAGCTGGAGAATGCCAGATCTGATGGTGAACACCTGAAATCCCAGTACTTATGAGGCTGAGTGAGGCAGGATGACTGCTGCTAATCAAAGCCAGCCCAGGCTATGCAGTATGCTACAGCCTGGGATATAGAGAGAACCTCTGTATCAAAAAGGAAAGAGTGGAACTGTGATATTGCTGGACATGCAGAGCAGCACTTAGTACATTACACACCGAGAAAGGGCTTAGACCTCTGTGTGCAGAGGTTTTATCCCACTAGAAACACACACTAGTCCCTTCATTTCCTTTCTTAGGGCCCCAGGCTGGGGTAGGCTGGTGTTCACCCCTCCACCAACCACATGTCTCAGGGCTCACTCTCCCAGCATCTAGGCTCATAACCTGGCCAGGTCCTCATGAGCAAAGTAGAGATGGACACTTTAACCATTCTTGTGGCTTTTTGCAGATAGGCACCAAGGCTGCTGCAGAGTCTGTTGTTCTACCCAGCCTGTTCCGCCAGGCAGAAGTACTGACCTGAAGACTGGACCTGAGCAGATTTTCTCTGGAAGAGGACTAAGGGAGGGGCTCTCCTGAGGCCTGGGCAGACCAGGTATCTGATTCTGAGGATCCTTTCCTCAAGATTAACAAACATTCAAATGCAGCCGCATCCCTCATTCAATGAAACTCTTCTTTGGTTTACACTAAAGGGGCCTCTGTTGACTTGCTTTTGACTATGAGTAACTCATTTAATCTAGAACTGGCTATGACTATAATCATGCTGTGGACTCTGGAGTGTTTGCCAAAAATCCAGTTTATAAATTGTTTTCAAATATAATGACATCTGTATGGGTACTAAAATTAACAAATATTGAAGTTGACATGTTATTATCTTTAAACGTTTGTTAGTTTCAATTTCTTTTCCCCCCCTCATTTTACAGCCTTCAAAGTTTTAGCTCCAAAGCTTTCCTTGAGCCTTTGAAAGTCCACTCTACAGGTTTGCATCCACAGAGCGAGCTCCTTCCTGGGCCACCCAACTCTAGGCACTGCAGACGGCCTTATGGCTTCTCCCCACAATGAACACCTACCCCCGGTCATTGACCAGGCAATATCAAGTTGAGCGACTTTACTCCCATTTAGAAAACAAAGTGGATCATTGACTAAGTGTGAGTTAATGTTTAGAATTCGATTGGACTGAGTAAATTCACCATGAAGCAATAGGATTTGGATGAGTACAAGGAATGTCCCCACCCGCTCCTCTCCAGTTCCCCAGGAGGGGGCGCCCAGAGAGCAGCCCAGGTTACTGGTCTCTTGACTAGGTTTTGATTGCAGTGCTTAGGTATAGACTTCACTCTGGGCCAGCCCAAGGGTCACAAGGAGGAAGTTTCTTCTCCTGTTTGCATGGACTGTTTGGGGGTATTTTAAAGCACCGATTTTAAAAGCCAGCACTAACCATTCCCCTACTCTGCAATCAAGAGGCAGTTCCTGTCCCTGCCAGGACTACATAATGAGTTCAAGGACAGCCTTTGCAGGGTGGTAAGGTGCTGCCTCCCTCAGGAAGGGTCCACACTCATCTCCCAAGTAGATCACAGGGAGGGGCTTTATGAGAGGTCTGGCAAGGCAGAGCAAGCAAGCAAGGAAAGGCCTTGGCTTCATCCTATCAAGTGAAATAGACATCTTAATGTAACACAAAAATAAAAAAAAAACCTAGAGACAGATGTCAGGGTTCAAGCTGATGGTCAGATAAGCAAAGCAGCCAGCCACTAGCTCTTACCTCTACCTCAGACTGAAAGGGCGATCCTGTCTCCACAAATCCTCAGAGTGCAATGCTCTCTCCATGAATCCTCAGAGACAATAGCTCTCCCTATCTGGAAATTAAATCTCCACTTGAGATCCTTTGCTTCTTCCTTTTATACCTCCCTAGTGCTGGGATTAAAGGCCTGTGTTCCCAAGTGCTGAGATCAAAGGTATGAGCTCTGTTACTCTTCACTTTTATGTAGGCCAGGGTGGCCTTGAACTCAGATCTATCTGCCTGTCTACTGAGTCCTGGGATTAAAGGTATGTATCACCACTGCCTGGCTCTATGGCTTGTGGCTAGTTTTGCATTCTGAACCCTCAGGCAAACTTTAATAAATCATAAATAGTATATCACCACCATTACCCTTTTTTGTCTAACACAAAAAAGTCTACAACTAACATAAGAAAAACTATATAATAAGTACAATAACTATATACAATATATACAGGCAATAAGTACATCAACAATGTCTAGTCCATTTGTATTTGACAAATTCAGAGAGAATACTCCATTATCTATCCTATCTTGGTGAGTCCAAAGTCTTGAACCTAATTTACTTTCTATTCTAATTCGAATCTTAACCTGGTAATTCTCTCTTATGGGCATGTAGGTTAGGGTAAGCCTTGTGCAAACCAAAGCTAAAGCTTGCCAAAATCTTACCTAATGCTTTCAATCCAATGATGGGAAGAACCCAGCATGAGGAAAGCACTGTGAATAAGAATCCATAGGCGGGCTGGAGAGAGGGCTCAGAAGTTAAGAGCACTGACTGACTGCTCTTCCAGAGGTCCTGAGTTCAATTCTCAGCAACCACATGGTGGCTCACAACCATCTATAGTGAGACCTGGTGCCCCCCTCCGGCCTGCAGGCATACATGTAGACAGAACATTGTATACATAATAAATAATAAAAAATCTTAAAAAAAAAAAAACATCCATAGGCACAGAGAAGGAAGTATCTTGCCCATGGTCACATGGACCAGCAGTACAGCTAAAGTGTTATGGCTCCACAGTGCATAGCCAGTCACACACCCCAGGCTGACTTACTACTGTCTTTTTGAGTATATGTGCACATACGTACTTGCCATGGTGTGCACACATACCATGGTGCATGTTGCTCTAGGACAATTTTCAAGAATCAGCTTTCCTTTTCCACAACATAGGACCCAAGGATCCACCCAGTGTGTCACGCTTGGCAGCAAGTGCCTTTACCTGCTGAGCCATTTCACAAGCCCAGGTCTAGATTTATGATGGTAAATCATGGGGCACGGCACAGCAATGAGAATCGACATTTATATATTACTTTAACAACATGTTAAAGATGTGTTAATTTTAAAAGCAAATTTATACATAATAGAATCTCGATTGAAAAAAAAAAAATCACTTGAATTTAGCATTTGGTAGCACACACCTGTGACCCCAGTACTAGGAAAGTTGTGTAAAAGGAGCAAGAATTGAAGGCCAGCCTAAGCTGCATAGGAGACTGTCTAAAAAACAAAACAAAAATACTACTTTTTAAAAAGTGGGGATGGCAAGATGACTCAGTAAATGATTGCTGGTATGCCTAGCAATCTCAACTCCATCTCTAGGACTCACCATACACTCCATGACAAGTATACATACACACACACACACACAAATAAATGCAATAAAAAATTTTTGAGTCAGATGCAGCCTTGGGAGGCAGAGACAGGCAGATCTCTGAGAGTTTGAGACAAGCCTGGTCTACAAAGTGAGTTTCAGGACAGGCTTGGAAAAAAAAATTGAAAAAAGTAACTGGAAGGAAAAAATATAAGTATCTAAAAATATGTTCATTCATATATATATATATATATGTATTTATAATATACATATATATGTACTTATAATATATATATATATATATATATATATATATATTATATGTACATTATAAGCAAACTCTTGGTAAAATTGGTAGGCCAGGATAGGATTTGTACTTCCTATTTTTCTGTATCCTCAAAGTTTTTTTTTTTCTACTCAGGCATTTTACTTATATGTTTTTGTTTTATGCCCCTAGAAAAAGAATCCCAGGGTGAAGCCTCCTGTGTGCTTTCATCTTAATTTTTCATGCTTCATGCTGCCACCTTAGTGGCAGTAAAACCAAGGCTCTTAGTGCAGTAAAAACAAGCCGGCAGGGTGGTAGTGGATTATTCTGTCCATTTTCCCTAGGTCTCTGAGCTGCTCATCACATTTGGGGCTCACCATGCCATACTTGTTCAGCCTGGAAGTGAGGCTCACTTTCCCAGCTCTGTGATTAGCAATGACTGCCATCAAGGCCATGCTTCAACCGCAGGTGGGAACCAGGTGAGGTCCCTCGAGTACAGGCTGATAAGGATGGGGTGTGCATCTATCTCCTCAGCATCATTTGTACTCCTGGAGCACCAGCCAGGAAATTCATGTGACCCATATGGCATTGCAGAAAGTTTCTTTTTTAGCTGGCAAGACCTTCCCTACCTTTTAAAGATTAGTTGCTCCTGGGCTGAGTGTACAGCTCACTAACCTAGTATATGAAAGGGTCATGCATTCAATCCCTGGCATCACAAAATCAAATTTTAAAAAGGGGGAAAGATTCACTCTTGATAAATGTTTGAAAGAGAAATTTCTGCAAAAATTAAAACCAAAGTCCAGTTTATACGAAATTGGCGAGGCTGCTAAGAAAGTTAGTGATGCACTGAGAAACGCTGGGCAGGAAGATGAAAGGAAGGATTTGATTTAATGACGATTCAGAGAATGAATATGGAATCCTCAGTGCTGGTATGGGACAGGCAGTGCTGGCCTTCAAGGGATGGTCTAGATCTACAAATCCTGCTTGCCTGATTTCCAAAAGTTAGCGCCCATTAGCCTTGACAAGCATTGTGTTTGGGGGAGCACAGACAAGGCCCAGCGGAGACCCTTAGACATGGTACTGTCTCCATTCTGTTGCTGGATATTTCTACCTTCAGAGCCCATTTTTCTTTTTCTTTTCTTTTTTTTTCTTGATTTTTCGAGACAGGGTTTCTCTGTGGCTTTGGAGCCTAACCTGGCACTCGCTCTGGAGATCAGACTGGCCTCAAATTCACAGAGATCCGTCTGCCTCTGCCTCCCCAGTGCTGGGATTAAAGGCGAGTGCCACCACTGCCCAGTGAGCCCATTTTTCTAAGCAGAAATCAGTCTGGGTGTTTGTTTTTTCTGTGTGGCTTATTTTGTGTATAGCCTTCTGCTCTAGCTCTAACTCCAGCATTTAGTTCAGAATGTCTAAAATGGATTGGCTAGGAGCCAGTGAGAGTCAGGAGGGGAAGTAGAGCTGCTTTGGATCTCTGGGCGCACCTGCTACAGTCTGAGGCCAGATACAGATGGGCCCTCCTACCTGCTCAGAGTCAGGGGTTAGGGAGTGGGGGCTGCTGCCAGTCTCTGTGGGCTCCCAGCCAAGCCCTCCATCACACAGGCTTACCATTCTGAGGCAGGAGGCCCCTAGTGCCTCTCCACCCAACAGCAGCTGTGGCAAGCATCTGCAGCCTACACAGGAAGTACCCTGTGCTGTCCAGGGCCTGTCTGCTTCCCTTCTTTACAGGCACAGCAGGCAAAGAGGTGCACTGCAAATTGCACAATAGACTTGGGGTAGAAAGTGAATTGCTAGAGATAAACTAAAATACAAGCAGCTCCAGCTCCAGCTCCTTACAACACAATCTAACAGTGATGTCTGTCACCATGCCTGCCATCTTTACGTCAGAATCCCCAAGGGAGAGATCTGGAAAGAGTATTGTAGACAGGCTATCTAGAAGGTTCCACAATTTTGAAACCACAGGCCTCAGGCAGGCATGTAGGGTACATGTTCCCACCTACCATGCTGTCATAAGAGGCTGCACAGGAGGCACAAGGTGGAAGGGTGCCATCCCTCCAAGCTGGTATGACAAGAATACATCATGGACCTGGGGGCATATGTCCCCTTCAGAAGGGCAAACGGGCATCTCCTCTCTCCCACAGATACCCCAGTCAGTGTACAGATGCACTAATCTACTTCATCCGTGCCTCACACCTTAGAGTGTGTTGTACCTCATGGCTGTGACAGCACACATCTGTGATCCAAGCACTCAGAAGTGTCGGC